CACTGGGGGGTACTGATATTTCCCGCCCTCTACAAAAAATAGAAAAAAAATCCCCTACCCTCAACAAAAATCCTTTGGAACAGTTTTTCTGATGAACAGCTCCATTGGCTGCATCTGTTAGTTTATGCATTAAGGCCAGACTTTCATTATCCCTTGTTTCGTGAACCCGCCGAATAAACTTGAACAGGAGACGAAAATGAAATAAAAATAAAATTTTATTTCAGCGTAATTTCTCGCGCCCGCTGACTTGTAATTGTAAAACATTGCTAAAAAACTTACTTTTATTTTCATTTTTTTTCTGTACGGCGCATAACAAACCCAAGTTGCATTTTCATGGGAGTATCATGATCAAAGTACTGAAGTCTCGCGCAGATGAGAAACAAGGTTATACATGGAATAAAATTTTATTTCATTTCTTCTCTCTGATCAATGATCTCACTTGCAATTCTTCGAGAATCACACAAATCTAATGGAAAAAAACAATTCATTTTATTTCGTTTATGTCCTCCTAAAAAAAATTGCCTTATAAAAACTCGAGAAACAAGGAATAAAAAAAGTCTGGCCTAACCAGTGGCGACATTACTGAGCGTGTGTGACAGAAATAGAATCAATTTTTATTACCAGTCGTATGGGAGCATCTTTATCAGTTTTTCAAAAGTGATTAGACATGTGTGTATGTATGTTGGCCAATCTCTGTACACAACGAATTTTGAAATTCCGATAATTTTTAGTATGACGTAAAACACCTTTTCCATATTTGTCAATTTTCAAATATGACACGGATGCCTACACTATGAATAGAATAGAATAGAATGCTTTGTTATAATAATGCTGTTAATAGAAGTCCTTTTACACACCTTAAATGATTTTGATTGTATCTGCCTAATACTGCATTCTTAACCTACGTTGATTTGACCACCTCCCCTTTGTGTGCCGGCTTATCAGAATGTAAAATAAAAATATATGATCAATGCATGTCCAAGATACGGAGTATAGACGACATAACATTACATTGCCCCAAACAAAATCAAGTAAGTGAAGTCGTATTCACTTTATGCACTCTTCTTGATTGATACTACAAATCTTTTTAAGAGGAATTCCCACTATCAATGCTATGGCCATTCAGTATACAGTGCATACCCAGGCGAGGGGGGGGGTACCTCCTTTTCATATCTAATATCCACAAATTGCAATGCAAAAATCATCATACCTGTGGATTAACCCAGAGCATTTGTGTATAAGTTTTATTGAAATATACGAGGGGGTTCTTAGAGAAATTGGATAATTAATACACACAGAATGCAACCAAAAACTAATCAGATCTGCACTTTTTTCCAGAGCATCTACGAAATTTGCCTAGTCCTTTCCACAGTAGAATTTAAACGACTGGGACATGTTTTCTCCACTTATTTCATTCATTTGCAGATCAGCCTGCTCTTTTTATCACTTCCAACAAATCAATCTGTTCATATGTTCGATTATGAACAGTTGTTTAAGGTATAATTTATTTACACTTGTCATCCACTTGTTACTCTACATTCAAAGAAACATACTTACAGTTAGGGGTAAAATTTATGATCCAATTTCGCAGTTGGGTACCCAAGTTTTACCTAAGTGGCTACACTCATACAATTTATATTTGTATATTATTGTACAACCATGAATATACATGATTTTAATTAATGATTTTCCACATATGGTCTTTGGAATAGAATCATTAAAACAAAATGACCACCAACACCACATTTTGAATTTGATCCGTTTTTGACTGCAACTGAAATGAAGAAAATTTGATGACATACTGGATAAAAATAATCCTACAAATGGTCAACTGAAATACAAGAGAATAATTGTCACAACTATAGTTATAAAAACAATAAAAAAAATCCTTTTTTTAATTTATTGTTAATATTTGAATACAAAACTCGTTTTTCTAATTTTTCACCTACATTAAAACCTAGACTTTGTACAAAATACAAATAATGTTCTACTACATTGTGCTAGTATAAGTTTTATTACACAGAAAAATTTTACACTAAATGTTGTTGCATCCCAGGGTAAATTTTTGATACATAAACATAGTGTGATGTGTTGCTATAAAATAGTGAAAAAACTGTAGTGTGTCCACAACCATCCCTGTGCATAAAGTCCAAAACAGGGACTCAAATGGTGTCACATCATAAATTGTCCATATTCTTCTGGCTATACAGGATACACAATTAGAATCAAAATTGGTACAAAATATTACTGGTATATGACAATTCGGACAAAAGTCCTGGTGATTCAAATCACCTACTAATGTAGACGTCCAACACTAAGAAGTATCAACAGAGTCTACATTGCTATAAATGTACTCTGTAAAGTTAAAGGGGAAAAATGTCTTCAGTTCAGTTATCAAATCCTCTTCACAACCCAGTAACACTGTATCCATAAGGTTTCTGCATTCTCCACATGACACCTATTGTATATCGGAACAGATCCATTCATACTCTTGAATATAAAGTTAAATATATGCTGGTGTCCACATTGCGTCCATTATGGATTCTGTCACTACTCTGATGATGATGAAGGTTCCTGTGTTGTGCTTACACTATGTTCCAACAATTTTTGTTTTTTCTTAGCACGAATATCATTCATCATCTCCTCAATGGATCGTTTGTCTGTTTTGCTTTCACTTGGAACTGAGAATTAAAAAAACACACAATCAGTTTCTCCTACATTAAGTAAATTACTCTTTCCATTCTCCTAAACACACAACAAATATATTCTCCAAAAAATAACCCACGCCAGTTTTTGTGATTAGTGTAGTAAATATAGAGAAAAATCATAACATAGTATATTTATTGAAGTCTTGATCTATACAAACTGTAGTGCAGTGGCTGCTGTATTAAAACATAGTATACTGGTAATCATGAAGTATACTAATTGAAGATGCTGAGTAACGCAGCCTCTGAGATATCATGGAGGATTTTATAAACTTAGAGGGAGTTTGTTAAAAACAATATTGAATTTTGAGCGTAGTCAAAAATGAGATAATGTATGGACACTGTTTGAATTGTAACCATGGAAAACATTAACATAAATCTCACCAAAACCAAACTGTTTATTAGGAGCCAGTGTATGGGCTCCTTCTTTAGCCGACACATCACCAATTAATTTCTTGTATTTATCTCTATAATTAGTTGTAGGAACAAAATCTTTGTCTTGAGTTGTTTCCTCTGTAACTGTGGTCTCTGTTACACTTTGTGCCTTGCAAGAAACAAACATATGTTACACAAAAATAACAAAAGAATACTTTGTTCTATCACAACAGAAAGCGTCAGAGAATGTAAATTATTATTATACCGGTATCTGTTTTTGGGGCCCAAATTAGCATACAATTACTGTGACTGCAAGAATGGAACAACACTGTAGTATGAGACACAGTTTTGGCAACGATATACCTATGTAGCTCACAATGTACGGTAGCCAGTGCTTTTTGTGGCAACACTTTGAGTAATGTACACTGTAGCTATTTTGTTGCAAAATAGTGTCTAATACTGTTGCGGCCACAGTAAATACTGCATAAGAAGGTTCAAGCATATTCAAAGATTTATAACTAGAGTGTAACCAAAGTAAATACTTTCATAAGCAAATAACTTGATAATATAGAACCCATGACTTTGTTGAAAGTTTAAGAGATTTTGCAGGTTTAACCATCTGGACACCATCATTTTTTCCAACCAGATTTTGGACATTATTTACTGTTGGCTACAGGTCTTGGTCAAATTATTTTATAAATTTAGGATTTTATTCTGTGAACGGTAACAAAAGATTACTTTCGTGTTCAAAGGGTTAATACATTGTAAGTAGCATGGCCGTCTCGTACTCTTCGTTCAAGACTTGAAACGTTTGCATGCATCAATTAGTGATAACACAAGGGTACCTTCATTCTGTAATATTCTCTGGCTTTTTCAGGATCCTCTATCACCTTGCCACTTCGATATGCAGCAAGTTCTTCATCTGTTGGAGCAAATTCCTGCAAGTGAAAAAAAAAAAAAATCCCAATGAAAGTAAGAAAGTTATGCTATGGAAGTCGAAATGTCTTGAATCAGCAGTCAAATTTCTACAAATGCTTATGAGTAATCAAATGTTAGTTACACACATCAGTTTGCCTCCTAACTGATTTTGTAGGGATTCTGAGTCAAAATGAATCCCCCAAAATCAAATTGAGTCAGCTTGTTGACTACTGGGTAAGTCAGTTTTCAATAAAACAATAAGTTGCATGTGACTGTATACCCTATTTACATACAAATGTGGGGGACGATACGTTGCGGATATGGAAATGTAACGAAATATAGTATGCAAAAATTATCTGCTACACAATCAGCACCAATCACCACAGAAGAACGACTTAAATGTAAAACTCAGAATTTATTCACTAACGGAA